AAAAACAGACATGAGAAAAACATTACTCTATAAACCTTAAGACTTAATAAAAACATTTGATATTTTGCATATCAAAGGATTGTAATGTTTACTGATAATCTGCCAAATTTTGTTAACATTTGCTTACCAATATAAAAGTTATAGCATGAAAACTACAACAAGCACAACATGGTTATAAGGTTGGTCCCAGGGACCGAGCCCGTGCTGAAAGAGTTAACTGGGACACAATGGAAGAAAACAGAGGGAAAGGAAAACAACAGGTATGTGCAAGTTTCTCCATAAAATTCACAGGATCATAATGTAAAACATCTAAAAGAAGGTGAAGCATACACAGACACCAAAGAAGCTGAGTAAGTAAGAGGCAAAGACATGAAGAATGAGAGAGAGAGAAAGAGAAGGAAAAAGAGGATATCCCCAAACTGAAAGAAGAAATTCAGGTGATTGATGCTCACACTACAAGGTAGTCTGAAATTCAGAAAAATTTAACTGAAGAGAAAAAACATACACCTATGTAATCCAAGTAGCAAAGGACAAAGGTGGAAGAACTTGATCCTTGTTGGGAGAAGGTAACCAACAGCAAAAATAAGCTTTAAACAGTTGGTCAAATTTGTAAAAAGATGGGGAAAAATCAGCTAAAAGAACAAAGTCAGGAATCTTGGATCTGAGATCACAATGAAAGCAATCACGTGGTGCACTATGGTGGTAACATTACTGACTGTCAGAGTGCCTTCAGTAATGAATGAGTCCTACTGACAAGTGTCAGAACCTTGGGAAATGTCAGAAATGTGAAAACAAACTTATAATTGAGATGAAACATGAAACTATCTTACATTTTGAGTTTTTTTTTGGGGGGGCACGAAGGCCTAGGTCATTCATATAATGGAGAGATAAAAAAAGACATAACAAAACCCTTACACTTGGTTAAAAGAACAAGACTGAGTACTATCAAATAAAACTTAACAGAGGCATACAGGTTTAATTGGGAAATCAATCATGTTTCTACAGATATCCCCCCTCCCAATGACAATTCACAAAGCACAAGTACACTGCCTATAAAATAATAAGTATGTTGTTAAAATAACTACTACAAAACTACATAGTTACTGAGATGAGTTCATGTAAATGACAGTCAAGCTGAAAGACATGCAAATTTAAAAGTCCATATGTGTCTCATGTTGCAGTGCTTTCTTCACTTTCTGTATAGTCTCTCATTTGATAAAGATAACTAAAGATAAAGAAGATTATGTCAAACATTTATTTTATTCCATGACACAGGTCATTTGAATGATAATGTTCCTAATTTTAATGTGATATTTATGAAAATTTCACCTCAAAGTGAAAGTGATTGTATCATGGTTAACGTTACTAATTATTATCCTACATGGACAACTTAAATAAATGCTCACACTAACATCTACAAATCTATTGAATACCAAAAAGTACAGCATATAGTATGTTCATTAGCAGAACCTATGTAAAATGAAACTATTAAAAAAAGTTATCATTATCTCACCTCTAAGTCAGTATCCATAAAATCAAATACCAAGGAAACATTAGACCTGTGACCAAATACATCCAGCAACTAAAAAACAATAATAAAAATCATGTAAATGTATTTTTACCTAACTATGATATGTTTAAATTCTGAACTCACATGCAATATTTTCATTAATATAAAATGTCAAGTGTCAGTGCATAAAATACATAATATTAGCTTTTTGTTTCTTCAATTATCCAAACAAAATATGACGACACAATTTAAAGCAATTTCAAGAAAGTTAATTGATACACTTAGTAAAAAAGAATTTTTTACAAGATGGCAAGATATTCTGACACACATATCAAGAAATATATTAATTTTTATCACTTCTATACAAAGAATGATAAATGGCTTAACAAAACAACTATGCTTATATATTTACTGAGGATAAAGACATTATCACAAAATATAATTCAAATTTCAAACTAAAATACCAACCCCTATGATATTTGTATGAGACAATTCTTGCAAGAGTTTAATTTCTCTAAGTGCTGTTCTGTTGATTCCATCTTTAGCTTCAGCTCGAGAACCAAGTTTAATCTAAATATTAACATAAAACAAAGTATTTCTTAAAACATTAATATATTTAAATTGACTGGAAAACAGTAGCAATTTTTATCTTGTAACTAGATTTTTTATAGCACTGATTTAAATTCATAGCACAGTGATAAAAAAAAGGAAACTTACAATTTCAAAATTAACAGACAATCACAAAATGTTGTCAGTATATTAATGTTCAATGAAATTTAGGAAACAACAATAATGAAGAAAAGCTAAATACATATATGTAAGGTTTTGTGGAAGTATTAATTCTTTAAGATTTTTTCTGTAGATGTAATGAATACATTTCATACATCATTATATTTCATTTTATAAACTTGTTTTGAATTAACATTTTTATCTTAAAATGAAATTAAATTACATAGCTACCTCTACAACAACATACTTTTGTTGATTACAGAATCCTAATAATATACGAGTCTTAGATACAAAAAAGTTAAAAATACCAGAAACTATTTCAATTAATTCCACCAATTACAGGTATTCTTCGTACTTTGCAATGAAAATTAGTTTTTTATAAACGTTTTCTGGTCAGTTCTTTACAATGGGCATTGTAACAGACATAAGCGAGTGTACTTCATATGATGCAATATGCAGACTTAATTGGGAGCAAATAGTACCTGATTGCCTAAATATTGAAAACCTGCTTTTGTTGATCTCCCAATACTGGTCAATATTGTACAATCTATTTAATTTACTTATAGCAGTGACACCACAACCTCAAGTGGAAGGAACCTAGAAACCTGAACTTTTGCACACAAACTAGGTGGACCCTGAGGATTTGCACCTGGCTATTATTACTTATCTACGTGCATGCACATCTTTTTATGCAAAAAAGCATATGGAAAAGAAATGTGACTGCTACAGCTCCAAGAAGAAAGAACCTAGAAACCTGAAATTTTGCATCCATACTAAGTGCACCCTGAGGGTGTGCATTTGGGTATTATTATTACTTACTTTATCCATGTCCGTGCCTGCATGCGCATCTTTATAACCTTTTGACTACGCTCACCCTTTAAACCCCTTTCTGCACATGGCATGAGATCTTGCTGAGTTAAATTCAAAATTGAATTAAACCACTTTAGTATAAACATATTTTAATGAAATTACTACTATCAAATATGTTATAATTTAAGCTTTTATATTATCCAAGTTTTATTTCTTTATTTTAAAAAGCACAATATGAAAAAGCAATTAAAACTGCAGTTTTTGGTGTCATGTGATCCACTGTGGTTAAAGTTCTCAAGTTTAAGAGGTCTCACACAGGAAACTATGAGTAGCTAATATAGACCGTCAGCATAGACAGTCAAAGTACAGTTCCAGATGTCTCTCATTAGCTGTGGGAAACTTCCAAAAATTTCTCCCTGTGTGAAACAACATTCTAATATTTCTAAGTTTAAGGTCAGCCACGCCCACTTGCAAATTCTAAGCTGCGTTTTCAAGTGACACTTTGTAGTTGAACGGCATGTTTGTTTATAACCAATAGAATAAGCAGATTTTGCACTATTCAGTTATAGCCTGAAGAAACCTCTACCTGTGGATGGATCAGTAGTATGAAGTAGACAATAAGCTTAGTCCATTGTTCTCTTGAGGGGTATGAAATGTTTGGCAAATGTTTCTTGCCTTATATGTATTAGTTTGCTAAACAGTTAGACTGCATTTAGGTTTTCATTTATATCTTAATTAATTATCTATTTATATGTGTTTTAAGATGCATATTTGAAATGTTTATGATTTTTATATGTTCAACTTGTTGTAGTTTGGCTTGCCAAAATTTCTAAGCAAGATGGCATCATTCGCATGTGCGAGCGTAAGTGCTTTGAATTTGTGCATAAGAGTCACCCTATAATAACAAAAGAGCACCGCGGGGATATGTTGGTGGTGTTGGCATCGTCAATAAAAGCCAAAGAATTGGAAAGGAAAATTAAAAATAACCTACATATTAAAAGATTAAAACATGATATTATGCACATGACAAAAAGAAGTTTGAAAACTATTCTACAAAAATTTCTTTCATTTCTTGACTTTCAACATTTGATTGCACTGTTCGTTGATGGTATCTGGAGTTAATGATATAATAGAGAAAATGGAAATCAAAATATAAACATTTACCTTAAAAAACTTTTGATATTCATTTTGGAGGTTCTAGAGATTATGCAAATGAAATGTGAAAATTGTGAGATAAGAAATAGTATTTTTATACTCAAAGGTAAAATCACATTGCATGTGAACTATTCAGAGTCTGAGTGCAAATAACTACATTAAATAATGAATGTTTTATTATAAATAGTAGAAAAATCAAAATTAAATACTTTATTTTCTAAAACTACATAATCTTAGGACTGTTCAAATCAAAGTTAAGACTATTTCATCAACTAGTTTCATTTTTGTAAAGAACTTTCACAAGAGTCAAGAGTCGCATACCTATTTACAAAAGTAGGTCATAGGGTTAAAGAGGCAAGCTAGCAAAAAACCACATAAAAATGAAGTGGTTCCTTATATTACAAAAAATAAGTGGACTCTTGAGGGTGTGCACCTGGGTATTGTTACTTATTTTACCTACGTGAATGAGAACATGTGCATCTTTTTAATGAGGAAAGCTAGCAAAAAACCACATAGAAAAGAAATACTTTATGTTTCTAGGAAATATAAATGTTTAAAATATTTTTGACTGTTCTTCTATGCTCAAATAGGATCAGAATACACACTGACATAGTAATCTACAATATATATCAATGCAATAATCCAAAGGAAGTCAGGTACTTTCACTAGTATATATACATAAAATAAAGATTGAGCAATTTGTATACACCTGTGGAACCATATGCATTCTCAGTTGTGGTCACAAATGATGCAACAGCCATTCAGATTCACAGAACAATCTGTTGCCTTCTACCTATAATGGAAGAATTTAAGAGAAAGAGACCAGTAACAGTTAATGACTGGAAATATTCGTACTTCCATACCTAAAATGTGTGGTCAAGTCAGCAGAACTCCAAAGAGAATTGAAAAGACTCACACAGACCTGAAGATGGGTTTCCCAACTTTATGGCAGTGCAATGGGAAAACCTAATATGTTGAGAAAATATAAAATATAAAGCAGGAAGGTGCTCCCCATCCTGCTTGTAGCTGTAAGACATCATTAATAGAATAGTCATCTCATCTCTAATGTCTTGAATACTACACAAAGATGTGCATACGCAGATGGAAAAGGTACCTATAGAAACATCATCAACCACCTGGTAGCATCGTCTGTATACTTCCACAGGGCATCACCCTCTCAATAAGCACCAGAGCAGAGGGTGGAATTTTGTCTAGGTCGTTCATAAAACCATTCAAATACAAAAATCTCATGTTATAAGACACATTTTTTTTTTATAAAATGATTCAATAACTCCAAACAAAACTGTAATTGTTAAACGAGGTATTTCGCAGTATAGTGATACATAAATTATCATGTTCAAGTAGGTGTGAACCCAAGTCATAACTAAGCAAGTAACAGAGAAAAGTCACCTGATAGAGATTTTGTCTACCTTGAAGAATTACAACTGAAGGCAAATGAAATTCCAAAACTGATGATCCAGAAATGTCATGCAAATAATATTTTAAAAACAAACTCAGATTCATTCACATGCCATTCTACAGAATATTCTCCAATGAATATCCCAAAATATTCATCACACTTTGGAATGTGATAGGCTCCAAGAAAAACATTCTGAAAATGAAGCCAGAAAAGAAGGGAAGCAGCAGCAAAGGTTGTGATATCACATATCTCTGGTCAAATGCCACTGAGAAACAAAACCCCATTGGAAGGTAACCTGAGGGAATAACTTTATGAATGAAAGCCATCATCCCCCCAAACAGAAAAGATGTATTTTGTGGTAGGTATAGATAACAGAAGTTTGTACACATAAAACTCCAAGGCTTGAAGTGCCAAGGGACATGGCTGAAAATCCCTTCATTATTTTAACCTAAAACCCCAGACAGACTGTTGGATATACAAGACTGTTTAGTTTAAGTTATTACTGAGTTTATTTGATGGTTTAATATTTAATGATTATTTACTTTTCATAACAAGTAATTATTTTAAAGGCAATAAGTTATGACAAGTTTGGTGGCGTAAATGGTAAGAATCGTACATTATGTGTTTGTGGTTCAATTGTTGTAGTATTGTTGATGCCAAGTTACTCAAATCTTCGACATTTTTCTCATTACCTTAAATGAGTATTGTTCCATTACAGCATTAAGTAGTTTATAGAAAGTTTGAGGCCTCAGTGAACAACATATAAATATAAGTGACCAAGCAAGCACAAGTCAAATGAGAGATAATTAAACAAATCTAGACTGAGTGAATGGCAGTTCAGCCATGATAGGCAATTTATAAAGAAGTTAGAAGTTTAGTCAGAAAACATTAAGTTAAAAGAAGTCAAGTAAAAGACTCAGTCAGAAAAAATTTTAAAAATGTAAAGTTAGTGGACATTTGAGTGATTAGCCATAATGGGTGATATTTCAAAGTGAGTTGAACAGAGATAAAGAGAATAATTTGTCAAAGGGTGTTCTAAAGTAATTGAACCCATCTGTGTAGACTTTGATTAAAAGGAGACAATTATTTAAAGTTTGAGATACAACTTTGGTAACCCATGTAGTAACATAAGTGAATCTATCACAGATTATACAGTAAGAAACAGAGTAGAAAAAATAATTTGTCTTATCAATTGGATTTTAAAATAATTGAATCAGTCTGTGTGGACTTTTGACAGGAAAAATATAATTATTTAGTTTTAGATAAAATTCTGATTTATTATAGTGTAAAGAATTTTTGTACATATGTTTGACTTGTTTTGAATATATATTATTTTAAAACAAGTGGATTATGCTGTCTGTTTATTGTTCAAATTTATCACGTACTGTAGAAGAATCCCAGCCCACATATTCAAACTCTAACACAGACTAAGTACTATGTTAGTCCTAACTAAGAT